CTGCTTGGCACCTGGTATAGCTGTGCAGCAGTAGAGTAATGATCCCCAAATGGAGGGACTCTTCCCGGGGGAAGTTTTAGTCCCTTTCTCCCCCTTTCCCATGCACACATATAAAGTGCTGGCTCTGTGGAAGAGCTTCTCCCCTAATGGTGCCTTCTCTCCTTCCTTTGTCTCTAAAGTGGTGCAAGATCAGAGGCACCAATTTGAGCAGTTTGTGCACATGGGTTTCCCAAGTCAGCTCTCCTCCTTGGAGAAAGCTGAGAAAGTCTTTCCCTTGTTTGTATCTCTCTTCCCAGATCCTCTTGTCCTCTTTGACACCTGGGATGGCCCCACAGTGGTGGAGGCAAGGATCCCCAAGTGCCCAAAGAACGTTCTGTCCTTTCTTTCTCTCCTCACACCCCATCTAAAGTGATGACTCCGGTGAAGAGTGTCTCACCTAATGGAGCCTTCTCTCCTGAAGCCTAATATCTCTTCCCATACCTATTTAATCTGCATGCTGATCAAATAATTTGAGAAGCTAGACTTTATGACGCATCAGGGTCAGAGGAAGACTCATAAACCACCCATCTTATGTCAATTATACTTGCTGCAAGTGAAAAAATCTTAAAGGGCTTACTGCAGAAGATCAGAATCTACAGCCTGCAAGACAGATTATATTTCAACATCAAGGGGGAAAAAATCTTCACCACTGAACTAATAGGTAACAACATGTTATATAGAGAAAAAAATTGACGTTGGCAATGATTTCATCTTACTTTGATCCACAATCAACACCCTTGTTACCATCAGGCAAGAGATCAGAAGACATGTTGTGTTGGGCAATTCTGTTGTCAAGAGTCTCTCCAATGTGTGAAAGAGCAATGACTTTGGTTTAAATGATAAGGTGCACCTAATTCAAGCCATGTTCTTTTTTGTTGATTGTTAAGTATCTAAAGGTGGGAAAATGACTAAGGCTGGCTGAAGAATTTATATCTCTGAGTTGTAATGTAGGAGAAGAATACTGAGTGTCCCATAGATTGCCAAAAGAACAAACAAACATGCCTTGGAGAAAATGCACCTAGGGTGTTCCTTAGAGGCAAGAGTAGTGAAACTTCATCTCACATACTTTGAGATGTTGCTAGAATGCTGCAGTCTTTGGGAAAATATATCATGCTCAGAAAGGTAGAGTGTAAGGGAAAGAGAGGAAGACCCTCAACAGAATGGACCAGCGCAGTGGCTGTAACGATGGGCTTGAGTATATCATATATTACGCAGGTAACACAGGATCATTTCAGACCCATTTTTCAAATTGTTGGCACCTAACAACAGTAACAACAACGATCAGTCTGTGTGCTGAGAAAATAATTTGAGAAGTTGCAATATTATGAAGAAAAATGTCTCATAAGGCTTAGTTTATTATATCAATAAACTGTGATACACAGAAATCATAACCTTGTTTACCAAAAGTAAAATTACTGAAATTGAAAAATCATAGCCTTTAGAAAGACCATACCTCAGCATCAAGAAAGCAGAAATGATCCTCACAACTGAGCCTATAGGCAACATTATGTCAGATGGAGAAAAGATTTAAGCTGTCAAGTACTTAATTTTACTTGTATTTACTACCAGCACCCATGAAGTCAGCAGTTATGAAATGAAATACTATGTTTCATTGGCAAAACAATTGTCAAAGATATCTAAAAGATTAAGAACAAGAATCTCACTGTAGATATTTAGAAAATGCCTTATCAATGCAATGGCACTTCATATTTTTGTGAAAGTTGGACACATAATAAGAAAGAATGAAGAAGAATTGATGCTTTTAAACTATGTTGGGGAAGAATATTGAATAAACTTTTGGGTTTAATACAAACAAATCTGTCTGGTGGAAGAAGACTATCTCATATATTTTGGGTGTGCTGTCAGAAGGATCCATTCGTGAAAAAAGACATCATGCTTCTTTGAGTGGTAAGTCAGTGAATGAGAGGAAGATTCTCAAAGAAGAAATTCTCAAGGAGATTGATTGATAGACTGACTATAGCAATTGTGTTAAGTACAGCAAAGATTGTGAGACTGCACAGATATGGGGCAGTTTCATTCTGGTTTAGATATGAATTAAAGCCAACAAGAAAATACCAATTCAGCCTGACTTTCATTCTTATCATGTCAGAACCATCTTATAGGTGACTCTCCAAAAGATTTTCAGAGATTGTAAATCAAATGGGAGAGTGCCTTTCTTTCTCCTCCGTGGAGCAGCTGGTGGATTTAAATCACCTTCTTTTGGATTGGTAGTACAACTCCTTACCAATGAGACAGCCAGAGCTCCCCAACAACAAGGTATATCTTAAAAAAGTATTTTCACAAAGTTTTAAATCAGAATGTTCAAAGACTATCAAAGAGGAATTTCAAAGACATTGATCATGTTTGTAAATAATGGATTTGGATGTAGTTTTATCACAGCACAATAGATGTGGTTGCTTGGTTGTGGTTTATAAAACAAAGATATTTTATTCCACGGTGTATGGCACTAAGATATTCCGTTTCTCATTGTATTTGAAATAATTAAATATCTGAACCTTTGCAGCAGGGTCTGAACTATTCCAGAACAAGGGAGATTCTGCTTCTTTATTTCTTTGACTGTCAGCTTGTTTTTTAAAGAAGTCCTAAAACTTACCATTAAAATTATTGATGTGTTCTGTGTTTACAGTTATGAAAATAATTCCACTTTCATTAATGTTTCTTTTCAATTTTGTGGCTTCATATTTCAGTCATGCTTTTTGGCCTATGTCATATTATGAAAGAACAAAAATTGATAAAATAATGCCATTTAAGTACAAAGCAACAAATATTAAAAATATTAATGCAAGCTGATACTATTCATCAATCCCTTGGTAAGTATGGTGCAGTGGGTTAAGCATTTTGCTATCCCAAAGGCTAGTGGTTCAAACTCATCAGCTGCTTCATGGAAGAGGAGACAGTCTGCTTCTGAAAAAGTATATTCTTGGAAATTCTGTGGGGCAGCTCCACTCTGTCTTATAGGATTGATATAAAATGGAATCAACTTGACAAGGGGGGGGGGCTTGTTTTGTTTGAGGTTTTTTTTGTTCCCTGAATGGCATATACTATTTTTTCTCAACTACTAACTTAATGCATGGCAGTTTAAATTCACCAAATGTCTCCATGAAAGAGAGAGTTGATACCATGGTTCCACAAGATTGTAGAGAAGAAAATTCTGTAGTTAAGTTTTATTCTTCAAACATGTGGGGTTTCCAAGAGTAGTAATTGACTCACTAACAACTTTTTTAAATGTTTAAAACTTTAATTAAAGTAGAAAGTAAAAGACATTTTTCACTTGAGAAATAGAGTAGACTGATTCACACAATTAGGAATTCCAATAGAGATGTTTTAAAAATATGGCCAGATCCACAAGTTGTCCAAGTTATCCAATCTTTCTTTCTTTTTCCTTCTTTTCTCTCCCTTTCCTCTCCCTCTCTCCCTCTGTGTATGTGTGTCTCTCTCTCGTTATATTCATGTCAAAGAAGTTCTTGCTTTGTTGCATTAACTTTTCATATAACAATGTCTCATAAAGAATGCTGCTTGTTTTTCAAGAGCTCTTACCTCTTCTTGGGTCTGAGCTTTGGTGGCCAAACGGTAAGGATCTGTGCTGCCAATCTAAAGCACACAGTTTGAAGCCACCAGCTACTCTGAGAGAAAGATGGACACTCTCCTTCTGTGAAATGTACTGTCTCTGAAAATTCACTGGAAGATGAGCTATGAGTCAGTTCCTATTTGACAGTACATAACAACAACAATCAGTGTGTCTATAGCAGGGGGAACATTCAATGTCCAACAAGAATAGTTAAACCGTAAATGGAGAGGAAGGTAGATGACTACTCCAAATCTCAGAATTCAAGATACGGGTCACTAGAAGAGTAAATAATCTATATTCTTCAATAATTATTATCAATCAGTTTCTTGCTAATTGTTCATCAAACAGTGATTTATTAAAGTTGTTCATTAGATGATGAATTTATAACTATATAGGTAATCAGAGTACTATATTAAGAATTAGAATAACCTCTGAGTCATTTGTCATATAGAGATTGACATATATGTTACCCATACGTTATCATTTCAAGGGGCTTGGGTTGGAGTTCATATATAAGATTTCTGTAAAATCTCCTTAGGATATTCTGAAGAACAGAATATTTTTAAAAACTCCCATATAGGAAACTTTTGTCTCGTCATCACTTACGCCTAGTCATAAGGCCAGAAATTTGTGTCTTAAATAAATAACAATATGAAAATGAGAATAATATTGTTGTGGGCCACCTAGTCAGAACTGATCAATAGCTGACTCTCCAGCAGGTTTTCAGAGGAGAGAGCTGACTCTAATCCCGTGGAGCCCCTGGTGAATTTAAACCACCTGCCTTCGCGATTCCATTGCAGTTTCTTAACACTAAGCCACCAAGCTCCCTAATGAGGATAATATCGATAATGTATTGAATGAAGCTGCTGTGCCAGACAGACACTCTGCAAAGCGTTATATTAGAGTTTAATAAACTATGCAAGTATAAAGAGATATATAAAGCTCCTTCACGCATCCACACAATAAATCTTTCACTTTGACTTTTGACCAGTATGAAGATTTAGATTATTTAAGCAACCTGTGAAAAACCATCAAGTTAGCATGTGGGTCTTCCGTTTGGTATGAGTTTTGTTTGAATTCATTTTGAGTTCCTTGACTAACCTACTACATTGTATTGCACCTCAAGATAACCCAACTTCTTCCTTCCACTGTTTAAAAAAATACTTCCTGGAACTAAATTTATCTTTAAAAAATGGTCCTATGAGATAATTATAAAACAGAAAGACACAAATAAAGTAACTATAGCATGAACAGACAAACTGTTATACTTCAGGTCATAGAGCAAGTTTATAGCGCCGGCAGAACCAGAGTCTCAAGTCTTCTGACTTCCGGTCTCCAGACACTTCTTTATTGACATTGATTTTCTCTACAGTCTTGAGTATGAACTCCGGTTATCTAATTTGCAATAAATAGTTCAATAGCTTGACTAATTAAAAACCTACTCATCTGATTTTTTTAATTTATTTTTGTTTTATACAGTCTTTTTAACAGGATACACCTGCGTTATCCATTTTGTCATTATCTGAAAAAATGTACTCTCCCTTTTTTTTTTTTTGTTTGTTAGTTTCTCAAAGCAGATCCATTTTTATTACAGTAAGAGGCCATATTTAAGCAAGTAAGCTAAGGCAATGTGTTCTGGAAGATGCAAAGAGTTCCTTTGTTAGATTTTTGAGACTTCGAATACATTTTGTTGAAATTCTTTTGGGCACAGTTCTTGCACAGGCCTGGCCTCGTCTGTCTGATAGAGATGAACAAAGATCACATATACAATTGTGTACTGCCAATTTTCGTAGGTCAGTCTGATCACAGCATTCATGGTTATTCACAATGCCAGAGGAAAAAAATATTGTCTTTCAATTTCAAATACCATTTGAGATGTAAACACCCAGAGTTCTTTTGGAAAATTATTTTCTCTTCATAAAAAGTCAAAGAGCCTGTTTGCATTATCAGCCTTGCCAATAACTAGACAGATTGAACTTTAATGTGCTGGATTTGAGGCATTATTCTCCCAAGATTCACATCTCAAATTCTTTAGAGTCTCTGACCTTGTAGACTCCCAGAAAAACATTCAGAGTAAAATGTAATAAATAATTTTATTACCGGTGTGTTTAAAGTTCCTTATGATTTAAAACATATTTTTCCATAAATTATTGAATTTGAAACTTTAGTCCTATGAGCTAGTGTTTCTGTATGTATTTTGTAAATGGACAAATGATGACTCAAAGAGTTTACATCACAAAGAGTTTTATCAGAGTCAAAAAAACTACAGAACTTTCATCGGGTAAGTCTGTGTTCTTAAAAGTTAGAGAGATCGATATTAATATAACTTATGTTATTTTATGACATGAGCTTCCTAGAGTAGCTGTGTTCAAAATAATGAGAAATAATTTGATTTCTTGTTGGTGTTTTGGGCTTTTTTGTTGTTGCTTGTCCGGGTTTTTTTTTCCCCCTTCAGATTTCTTTTCCCCCTCAAATTTTTAAGTGAAGAATTAAATTTTAAATATCCTAGATGCAAATAGGTACGATTTCTCCTTATATATTCTTAATATTTCTCCCATTAAGAAGTTGTAGTTTCAGACTCCTTTAAGGAAAAAAAAAAATTAAATAATAACAAGATTGCTATAAAACTGTAGCAGATAGTCCATATATGAACATTATCTTTAGTGGTGGTTTTTTGTCTAACTTGGCTTTTGAAGTTTTTATTCCCCACAACTCCTTGACCCACAACCTCTCAGTTAGAATCTAGGACAATACACCTCTGTGAGGGAAATGTACAGATCGTGAGGAGTCTTTTTCAAAATTTTTATTATGACTTGAGTGAGTATTTATAGATAAAAAATTTTTTTCCAATTAACAGTTCCTACATATTATTTTTTTCTGACATTTACTATTGTGTGCATGGGAACATCACTCTTCCCACTTTTTTCCTGTGTTTCTGTGTTCTATTTGTCATTATTTCCTACTCTTTCCTAACTTCTCAGCTTTAACTCTGGGAAAATGCTTCTCTTTTGATCTTGTGCTCCTTATTCTAAGGAGTGCATCCCTCATTGTTCACTTTATATTGATCACTTTATATCATATTTAGCTGGAATTTAGTTATGAAATGCAAAAGGACCAGCTTCAACGCTTCAGACTGGATGAGTCTGACTTCTACATTCATAAAGGAGAACTATCCCCATCAATAATATCCATTGTTACTGTTTATTGTCTTCAAGGTGAGCACGACTCATAGTGACCCTGTGAACAAAATACCTGAAGCCTTTCTATACATAAGGTTGTTTCTCAAAGTTCGTAGAGTTTCCAGAGACTTGTTATTTAGGAAGTGGATGCCACTCCTGCTTCAAATAGCACCATACAAAGAGCTAGTCAGACATGCCTCTCCCATGTTCCTGCACCTGTTTTACTAATCATTGAGTCCAATGTTCATTGCAACTTGACTCACAGACTTGACTTTGTTGTGGTGTTTATTAGGAAAATGGGTTGGAGAGTGGGGGAGGCAAATAATATCTCACAATGCAAGTCCAGGTTCAGTAGTTCAGCAGATTAAACCATATTAGCCACAATACCTCAATTAGTGACAGTCCAGATTCACTAATGCAAGAAGCCTCTGGTTTATTCAAACATCCAGCAAACTTATCTTGTTGATTGCCTTCAAGTCAAGCACAACTCATAATGACCCTATGAACAAAAGGCCTGAAGGCCCTCTGTAAATACTGACATTTATCAAAGTTCAGATTTATCTTAGACCAGTTCTAAATCAGCTTTTTCTTCAATCATCTAGTGAGCAAATTTTTAACTGTGGCTTTTATATCTCTGGTTACACATTGTCACCGTCTCTTCACAGAAGTGCCATATTTTCTTCACACTCTGTCCACTACTATCTCTCACAGTATCTTCACAATCTTTCCACCACCATCTTTCACACTGTGGAAAGCCCTCTAATATCAGTCCCACAACTGTTGACGATTTGCAAGGCCATGCGTCCACAGTTAAGGTAATGGGAACTATGACCCCCACATTGGGGGCTAATGCAATAGCTAGAAAAACCAATTTTCAAGAGGACTGATACTCCCATTTGCCCAGTTACTGAATCAATCCACCTCATAAAGGGTCTTCCTCTCTTGCACTGTCCCTTCATCCTCCCAAGCATGATGGCCTTCTCCAAGGACTTGTCCCCCCTTGCAATATGTCTAAAGTATATCAGATGAAGCTTCAGAATCCTTGCCTCCAAGGAACAGCCTGGTTTAACCCTCTCCAGGATAAACCCATTTGTTTTCTTAGCAGTCCGTGGTATATTCAACACTCTTTTCCAGCACCACAGCTCAAAGTCACCAATCCTCCTTCTATCCTCCCTCGTCATTGTCCAGCTCTCTGATGCATAGCAAGTGATTGTAAAGATCATGGCCTGTATCAGACACACCTTAGTCTCCAGAGTGACACCATTGCTCTTCAGTACTTTGGAGAGGTCCCTACAGCAGACTTACCCATTGTAATATGTCTTTTGATTTCTGGGCTTCTGGTGCCGAGATTGTTGAGTGTGGAGCCAAGCAAATTAAATCTGTGAAAATCTCAGTCTCTTCACCATTCATCTTGATGCTGCCAATTGGCCCAGTGGTAAGAATCTTTGTTTTCTTGGTATTGAGCCTCAATCCATATAGAATGTTGCAGTCCTTGACCTTCTGCAGCAAGCACACAGTTCCTCCCACCTGAATTTCAAAACCATTTCAGGAACAGCTTTAAGGCCTTGAACACCAGTAACCAAAGACCAGATGAGTTGTGGGAGGATATCAAGAGTATCATCCTGGAAGAGTGCAAAAGGTCATTACAAAGACAAAGGAGGAAAAAAAGACCAAAATAGATGTAGAAGGGACTCTGACTAATGCACTAAAGAGCCAAGGAGCCAAAGCAGAGGGAAGAATTCAAGATCTTAAAGACATGAACAGAAGATTTCAAAAGGCAGCATGGGAAGACAAAATAATTAACTTCCACATGCTGAAGTAATTTACCTGTGTTGGAGTTAAACTGACCGAATATTATTGAGATTTAGAACAGTTCATTTTAAAGTAACAGATTCTCCATCTTTGGATTAACTGCTCATTTCTGGTTGATAAAAGTTATGAGTCAATTTAGTCATTTAATTAACTTACAGTGCTATCAAAACATCTTTTACACAGATACTCCTCAGCCCTCCAAACTTGGGGGCAGGTTTTTCTTTATTGCTGAAATAAAATTATTTGAGTATAAATTCTTTTCTCTAAACTGATTCTACTTAATTTGTTTTCTCAAATTTGAAGAAAATACAGAGAAATTATTGTCTCCAAAGTCTCTTCATTCAAACCTTCTTAACCTCTTGGCATATTTGTAGTTGTTATTATCTCTTCAAACCATCTAATTTCAGCAAAGCTCACAAGATCTTTCCTTCCATTGAGGAAGTATTCTAACTTTACTTGAAAATTTAAGAGAGTTTTGCTGAAGATTTCCTCACTCGCCCTCGTTCTTGATCTCTCCTCTGCCTTCAGAATACTCTGCCACTCAGTCGATTGACACCCAGAGCAAGATTTGAAATGCTTTAAACAGTTTTTCAAGATAAACTAGTTCTCTAAACACTGCATACCTGGATTGTACTTTCTATAGCAAAATACCTATTTAATAAATTTATCTTAAATAAATAGTCCTCTTTGAATGATGAATTTTGTCATATATCAAGAACTTCTCTGAGGAAGCTCTTCTGATAAGAACTTCACTAACTGCAATGGATCTTTTTAATTCTTTGCTACATTTAGAACATCTGATGTTCTCTTTGGAAGCAAGGATGATAAAGCTTCACCTCATGTACTACAGGCATGTTGCTAGGAGAGGCTATTCCTTGGACAGGAACATGAAACTTGGAAGGGTAGAGGTTTGGTGAAGGAAGAGAAGACCCCCAACCAGGTAGATTGACACTGTGACTGCAACAATGGGCTCTTGTGTGTCAGGAAGGGTGAGGATGGCACAGCGTAGGACTGGATTCAGATCCACTCTCCATAGGGTCACTATCAATCTTACTTAACTTGAAGGCACCTAGTAACAACAACAAACATCTGGACTACAAATATAGTAAGTAGAATTGCAATAGATTCAATTATAAATGTTTGTTACAACAACAGGGGGAAAAATAACACCAAATTGTGTCTGTAAGACAATACTAACTGAATTAAATAGTTAAATTCTTCAGGTCTTATTTTTTATATACTGTTCTCTGATTCAATGTGATACCAAATGTACAAAGAGGTCCACCATGAAGGAAAACTTCTTCAACAAATGGCGCTGGCAAAACTGGACTTAAACCTGCAGAAAATTGAAATAGGACCCATATCTCACACCATACACAAAAAAATC